CGTATTTGTACAGGCTAGGCTTACTTGTGATGATAACCCTATTTTACGTCATCATTATTGAGCTGCTAGAAAGTAAATAAGTTATTGAATTCATTTTTTTAAGGTTGTATATCCTCGTGTACATGTTGAAAACTTTGATTTGCTGCTAGGTCTATGGTTTTACTCGTGGAGTTTTGTTGGACTGTTTTTGTGCTAAAGAACTGAGGTTTGTGTATAAACTTATACTTGTACTCTTTTTACCTGCTGGTATATCTGAAAGCTATCTTGGTGCCTTGGTTACCTCTTGTCACTTTGTATTGTCGTATTGGTATTCTTTAATACATTAAAGACGCTTATGTAACTTGCCCACTTGTACGGATTGTTTGATCACTTAGCACTCTTGTTGGGACATTGTCCTTCTTGTGGCTATGACTTTGTCACTCTTGGAATGCCTCTTGGTTCGGATCATTTGCCATCTTGACTCCGGAATTTTAGTTCGTCTTAAGAATGGAAGTTGTCCATTTTAAGTACGAACTAGGAAGACATTTTTAAATATGGTTCTTGGTTCTCTTGATTATTGGGTTTTGACCCTTCTTGATACCTGCTCGTGCTTGGTGTGACGACATGATGTATATATTGGGTGAACCTTGTTATTGAATCTCTTGAAAAGTTGTGCTATGAGCATTCTTGACATTTAGACCTTTATATATTGAACTTGATACTCCTTTTATATTTTTTACTTGATTTACTGATTTTGTTTCGATCGTGCTGCCCTTGACTTGAGAATGATAACTTGGTGAATTTAAGGGCTCCAAACCTATAGTTTGTACACCACTAAGCTATATGCTTAGTGATAGTTGTTTCTATCGTAGGGTAGGGGCTGTTCGCGATGATGCTTGAAGCTGGCCATTGATGATGGAGATTTTGAAAGCCTTAAGGAAGATCACATTTGCATATAGGCATATATATTTTGTATAACCTTGGGACTTGTACGTGATCGTTGTGCTGTATATTTACAGGTAGATTTTGATGGCTGATTTGGTCATGTCACCATGGGTTGTAATATAAGTATGGTTATACGTTTTTATCTTTTTGGGGGTGTGTAAACCCAAGTCTTGTAATATACTAATTTTCTATATGTCTTGAAAGTTGTGTGAAGCATGAGCCGACTGATTTCGGTACTCGGAAGATTGTAATATTCTTGTTATTTCACCCTTGAGTGTGAGGTTAACATATGCATGAAGATCTGGTCGGTTAATTGCTTAAATGTTATATTTTTTTTTGGAGTTCGTTATGAATCTAATCCCTCTACTAGATTAAAATTAGTATGCCCTCATTAATTGGTTTTAAATGTCGCAAGTATTTAATTAGATTTCTTGGTTAAGTAGTGGTATCGTTTTGAAAGGATCGCTACAGAATTCACCAAGACCTTCCATTCCTCCACAAACCATGTGGAAATTTCCCCAAAAATTGATTAGATATAATAAGAAAACGGCCAAGGTTTTTTGGTCAGCAAGAGAAGATGCTAGATCTCCAGTCAAATTTTTGAACAATAAATCAAGAATCTTGATATCTTCAAGTTGTCCAAATTCAGAAGGGGTTTTTCCAGTGAAAAAAATGTTAGAAAGGTGAAGACTGGTCAGATTTGTGGACACCACTAACTCAGATGGGATAGGACTAGGGAAGCTGTTATTTGTCATGTCAAGAACTGTCAGAGAAGTTGAACCAGCTAGCGGAGAAATGTTTCCACTGAGCGTATTGTGAGAAAAGTTAACTTTGCTGAGATATTTCAGAAGGGAAAGATATTCAGGAAGTGGACCTTCAAAGCAATTGTTGTAAAGAGTAGTTAGGTCCAGCTCTTATAGAAATCTTAAAGTTGGTGGCAATTATCCTGAAAGTTTGTTATCAGCAAAGGCCAGTTTTTCATGTTTCCTGCAGTAGCCTAAGCTTGATGGGATTGGACCAGATAACTCATTCTGAGTTAGCTGAAGAATAACAAGATTCTTAAGCCTACTAATGGCATCAGAAATAGAGCCTGGAAATTGATTAGCCAAGAAATCAATGCATACTAAGCAATTTGTCATTCTCTTGGGGTAGTTACTGACACTGGTTTTCATAGAGGTAGTTCACACATCCTCTGAAGCTTTCCTATTTCCACTGGAATTCTTTCGGAGAGCATTACATGGAATAGGTACAAATCTTCCAAGTTAGTCAAGTTTCCTGTTTTAGGTTGTATATTTACAGTAAAGTTGTTATTGTTGAAAATGAGGCATGTGAGACTTTCTAGCCTGTCGAGGCCTCATGGAAGCATTCCTCCAAAGTTATTACTGGAGAGATCAAGTAGTCGCAGGGACGTGTGCAGTTTAGTAGCTCCAAGGGGAAATTCCTCGATGGCTTATTCTCAGCCAGAATAAGTAGGCTTAAAGCTTGAACCGTGAAACAAAAGTTACTTAGAATGCTTCTTGTTAAAAAGTTGCCAGAGACAGCTAAACTTTCAAGATTCTTTCACGTTATCAAGCATAAGAATAGTTTTCGAAAAACAGGCTGTATGGTTAAGGCCCTAAGATAGAAGAAAGCATCAGGACAAAAATATGAGAACATCGGGTCCCGATTAGAGTACAAACAACTATGCAATTCTGAGTGGCTAAAACCTGACTATATACGATACTTGTAATGCTTGTCCAATAAAAGCATGAAAAGGCTGGATTTCAATAGAAATGTATAGCTCTGAACAAGTGCTCTGCATTAACTTTCAGAAATAAGACTACTCTCCAAGAAACACTCTTCTGACACTTGCACATAAAAATGCTATCTTATTATCACAATTTTTGAGTCAGCATTACCTGTGGATCGGGAGCTGCGACAGGGGCAGAATCAACAATACAACCCTTAATCCTTCTCATTAAAGCATTATCTTGTTTCTGAAACTTTTCCAAAATGACACCATAACTGTAAGGCCAAGAGAATAAAAGAAGTCAATCAATAATTATCAAGCTAGTATTAAGGAAAATGTAAATACTTATGTTTCTGTTGTCTTCCTAGACTAATGAGTATCATAAAGAACTCACGTTAACCATCCAGTATTGCTGAAAGTGTGGAAGACAAAGTTCTCTCCATGCTCTTCTTCCAACCAATCAACTAGATGATTCACAAGCATTTCAATATCTTGCTTTGCCTTTCCCCCGACTTGATAGCTTAGAATCTCAGACATTGGGAAAGTAAATGTAATGACATGATATCCCCTTGATGCATACCACTCTGCATATCTCTTTAGATGCTTTTGCTTTGCACCTAACCATCCCAATAATACCACCATAGTGGCAGACTTTAGTGGTGAAGAATTAGAATTCCGTGATGCATTTGGCTCAGGTAAGTGCCATGTATACAATACCTCGAAAGGTGAAAAAGGAAGTGTATATGTATATGTGGAGGGATTAGCAGAGTTAGGCAATGCTGCTGATTGATAAGAGTTGAGCAACAAAGAAGAAGTAGGAAAATGAAGGGTTGAAAGAGAAGTAAAAGTGGTGTTATTTAGAATAGGCAGGGGAACATGTATTGTGGTGAGGTAGGAGGAGAAATGGGGTATATTAGAAAGAGATATGTGAGAGACCCAAGATGTTATCTTTTCCTTTTCTTGGGAATTGTTGTGTAATGACTTAGATGGCCAGAATTTTTCATGAAGATCAGTAGATACAGATAGCAACTGCAGATGCTGCAACTATAGGTCTTTGGAGGATTCCAGACAAGTAAGCCATGATGATATATTTGTTTTGCCGGTGAAGAGAAAGAAGACACACCTCAGAAATTGGGCTGCCAATATAGATGAACTATAATGACAGCCCTACAAGCAAAGACTATATAGTTGTCAAATTTTGTGGCTGTCACAAAAACGCATGAGATTAATTAATTAGAAGACAAGACCCAATATAATACGAAAAAGGTCAAAGTACACGCGTGCGTGAGACTTTTTCACAAATACAATATGCCTGACGACACATGCTAACAAGACAGAATATTCAATCAAACTCCCTTTTCTTACCCTAATGTTGATTTTCATCTAATTAACAATTGGTCAAAACTCAAAACTCAGAAAGGGAAAAATGGAAAAGATAGACGTTGAGCATCTGGTTTGTTTTTATGGAAAAAAATAGGTTTGACCCATCCATAATGAGGGTGGGCGGATCGGCCTCTCAAATAAACAAACATAAGCATTATAGGTTGATTGTAAGAGGAACACCATACCTGAGAGACGAATAAAAAGTATTTCTTCTTTCTTCTTCTGACAAGGAAAAAGGAAAAAGGAAAAAGGAAAAAGGAAAAAGAGACGAGTCTTATATTTCTTGTTAAGATTTCCCACCTTGCTTTTCCGGAATAAGAGACTACTTTTGTTTTTTCTTTTTTTTTTTTCAATTTCAAAATTGCTCCTTGCCCCATTATTTTACTTTATTACTAAATTATCTCTCTTATAAAATACGAATATACTGCGCTACATCATTTTTTTAAGAAAAAAAATAACATGCTCTACCTAACTTATACGATCTATTTATCATTCATACATCTATTCTTAAAAAACAATTCTTTTTAATAAAATTCGTAGCTAACATTGTATTTGGTAGCAATTACCTCCCAACTAAAATCAACCCTACGTGCAAAACTCAAGCGCTATCATTCAATCCTACAAAATCCAAGCATTGTCATCCTCCAACCATCGCCGTCACTGATAATTTGGGTTTTGGCTCCACCGCTCGAACTAAAAATCAACCATGCAATTGCCTAACTACAAAACCTAAGTGTTGTCACCCAACCTTGCAAAACACAAATATCCTCATCCTTCTACCATCCACCACCATCATCGATTATTTGAGTCTTAGATCCACCACCTATACCTCCTCCACACATATCACTGTAGGGAGAAGATGTGATAATTTAGGGAAATTGGGATCTACATCGAAAAGTATAATGTATGAGATTTGGATTTTGTTTTTTTTAACGATGGGTGGTGAATTGGATATTTGTTCTCATACTCTTCCAGTTCTTATTCTGTATCACTAGTTGGATGAATCATACTTCTAAAATCGAAATACATTGTATGAGATTGGGGTCCTAGAATACAATGTGTTAAGTAAATTGAAAATAGTGACATACAATTTGGTGATGATTGAGGTGGTTTCGAGTGATAGATACAAGTGTATTTCGTAAAATATAAGTTCGATACATTAATATACAAGTGTGTGCACACACACAATTTATATATATATATATATATATATTATTGAAATATATGTTGTATGCATCTTCAATGGTGGACAATTGTATGTTGTATTCTTGTATAGATCTAGATCACCATCTTGTTCTTTTTATATATCTTCATTGTATTTCATTATATGCAATAGAGACTAGAATATGATGCGCGAGCACATACAATCTATTGTGACTATATCTATTGAGACATCAAAATAAAGTGAAAAAATATAACCTATTGTGATTGTTGTAACACCCCACCTACATAGAATGTTTAAATTAACTTGTGCCTCTGGGGAAAGTCTAAGAGTTCTCAATATCCTAAGAAGGATGCGTTATGACGTATTTGACTCACACAATGGTTGTATTTTAAATTTTGAAGTCAAGCGAGTGGTAAAATAAAAGTCAGCAAATAATCACAAGTTACTTTCCTAAACTTTCTGAAATTTGAGTCTATCCCAATATATAAATGTTAGTGAGCCCAAAACTTATCAAATCAAAGGTCTACGAGTCTAGTTTCCAACGAACTTAACTATTTGTCCATACAACTTCAAAATATAAAGATATTCACGTTTTTGTGAGACTATATAAACAAACTCATGAAGTGGAACCCAAGGTCGGTGGAGGCCTTTACAGACCTCACCTTCTCCATTTAAAATCATTTCTCTCATCTTAAGCCCAGAAAAATATATGATAGAACAAATTTGAGATCCACCTTTTATATCCATGATTTCGACATAAAAGCTGCACAAAAGTTGTTCTACACCCCGAGCTCATCGTTTTGATATAGTTTCTCCGTAGATTGTGGCAACGGGGGCTTAACTTCATATTCAGTATGTGGCAGTGTTTTTGACATACACTCTATTTGATTTTCAACCCAAGACTAACTACCACAATGTAATAAAAAATAAGAAGGTAAAATTGGGGGATTTGGAAAACACGAATTTAATTCAAACACAAGTATCAATATCAAGAGATCAACACAAAAGAGTTTCAACATGATGGAGACAACTAGGGGGTGTGTGCAAAGTCGATGAGGCTTCAACTCAATAAACAATAATTAATCAATTCTAAATCAATCAAACCCTTGAATATTATTTGGTCTATGCTATATTCAATATTCTTGAGTGGGTTAGACTATCTCTAGATCATGCAAACAAAACATCAAACATTTCTTGAGTGGGTTAGACTATCTCTAGATCTACCCTTAAATGGATAAATAAATCAAATTAGACTAACTCTAGCTCTAAATCTATGACAAATTTATCAAGTCCTCACTAATAACGCCTTACCCAACCTTATTTTGCTTTCTCAAGCCAAAATAGAGTTATCTAGTTCAACCAGTGTTTGTAACCATTGATTTTTAGATTAAAACTTGAAAGCATCAATAGATCCATATATGTATAGAAACTAATTTAATAACTAATCAAGTACTACCCATTAAAGTGTAACACCTTGAAACCTAGTAGACTAAGTAAGGGGCTAGATGACAAGTCACAAGCCAAGGATTTGAGCCTGGGCACCTTCCACAAAGGTCCAAACGGGTCGTGAAGGGCACCACGAGGCATGGTGTAGCCTGTGGTGGCTCACAGAATTGAGCCAAGGAAGGCTCCCCTCGCATGAGCATCCAAATGGCTCATGAAGAGGTCAACGAGCTGTGGTGATGGCTGTGAGGGGAGGAAGTAGCTAGACAAAATGATGATCCTTCACATGAGCCACTAGACGGCTCATGAAGGCCTTAACAGGCCGTGAGAAGGGTCGTGGTGAAGGGGGTATTTGGAGTGGCACGCCAAGCTACTGATCAAGGACCACGGCTACCACTACGGGCTGTGTGGTCCTTGACGGCTCGTGAAGAGCTTTGTGAAGGGGGCTTCGACAGTTTTAATAAAGGGGTAGTTGGGTCTTTTCCATTTTTCTTTAAAACAAAGTTATGTCGTTTTACCCATTCCCAAGACACCTATTTAAGTGATTTTAACCCTAAAACTTACCCATTCAAGTCATTATCTTAAATTCACCAAAAGAAATTGGGTTCTTCCACTCCAAAATATTTCTCTCTCTAGAAACGTGAAGAAGACAAAGAAGAAGGGTTGAAGCTAGGGCTCAAGGTCAAGTCTCCATTCTCTAATCAATTGTGGGCTTTGATAGCAAGGTATGATAGCTTTATCCATCCATGGAATCCTTGCATACATGGATCCCCTAAGTTCCCCAATTTGAAAAGTAGAAATTCCCCAATTTGAGTTAGGGTTTTCTCCTAATTTGTGGGTCATTATGAATGTTGATTCAATTGATTGAATTATGATTTTTATGCATGAATTGAGAGGATTCTATTCTTTTTATGATGAATTCCCCTATAGCCATGCTTAACCCATGTTTCTAAGTGGAATTGATGTAAATGGGTTATAATCTATGAAATGAGAATTTTATGGGTTTGTGTGTATTCTTATAGGATGAATAAGATACATTATGAATTTGCTTTGAGATTGAAGCATATGTGATGATTATGATCTGAATTGCTTTGAGAGTGAAACATATGTTATGAATTGTTGATTATTGATGTAATTGTTGTGGAAGGGATCTTTCCCACATGATTTTCTTATGTATGAATGTGAAAGGCTTCCTCACATTGAATGATTCTAGGTTGAAAGGATTGCCCACCTAAAGTGAATCTAAGCTTAGGAATCATGAGAATGATGAGGCTAGAGGCGATTACCCTTGACCTCTAATGAGAAGAATATGAGGCGATTACCCTTATTCCTTAGAATTGGGCAAGAGGTGAGTACCCATGATCCTAAGTAAAAGACAAGAGGCGAGTACCCATGTCATATGATAGAAAGACAAATAGGCAAATTCCCATGTCACATGATGAAAGGACAAGAGGCGACTACCCATGATCCTATAGTAAGAGGGACAAGAGGCGACTACCCATGATCCCAAAGTAAGAAGGACCTGAGGCGATTAACCATGTTCCTTTATAATAAAGAAATAGGCTATTCCCCATGTCTTTAAAAGATATGCTAGAATATGTTATGATAGGTGATGAGCTTGGATTGTTGCTTGAGTTTGCCTTCTATGATGAGTAAGACTAGTAGCGGATTACCCATGTCTTGGCTAAGTATGAATTGAGGTTACTTCAATAAGTACTTCTTATATGTTGAAATGGTCTATTATGTGCATTGATTATACTTTATGACTTATGTTGTCAAGCTCTTATGTTTATGTTATGTTTGTGCAAGCTATCATATTTAGTACATTTTTGTACAAACACATACTCTTGCCTATATTTCTTATCCAAATGTAGGGTCCGACGTTCCCGATTCTCATCCCTCTGGCTAGGATTCATAGTAGAGAGAAAGTTGAAGATTGGTGAGTCCTCATAACATCCGAGGATTTGGCCACTATATTCCTTATGTTCTTTAATTTTATGTTTTGAACATTGTTGTTTGGGCTGTGTCCCAATATTCTATTGTATTAAATGATTTTTGAGACAAGTGTATTAGAGTTTCGCTTCGTTTATAAAACTTTGGTTATGTTTGAAGTGTTTTAAATCTTATTGATTTTCTATTATCTTGACTATGAATGCTAAGTGGATTATATGAGGCCTCTCGGGGTCTTGTATTCCATGTTACGTCTAGGGGGAGCCCCTGGGTCTTGACAAAACTTGGTAATCAGAGAACAAAGTTTAGTGGTTCTAGGATGTCTCAAAACCACGTCAAGTAGAGTTTTGTTCATGAGTGTGAAGCGCGCCACATTTTTGAATGAGAAGCTACAATATGCTTAGGAAACTTCACTTCTATCATTATTCTAAGTCGTGCGATAGAGTTTAACTCTATAAGGTCTCTCTCCTAATCCTTACCTGATGGTGTACAAGAAATGACTACTCAAAGAGCTTTTGCTAGAAGGAATGATGGAGAAAATGTTGGTCAAGAAGCTCCTTCTCAAACTTCTCAAGCTCCGGTTGACCCTTTGGCCGAGCAAGTGACTAATGCGGAGTTTAGGACGTCTTTTCAAGTTTTGGCTCAAGCCGTGACGACCCAAGCCAATATGGAGGTTGTGGTCCCCGTGAACCCAAGTGTGGGTACGACGACATCTAGAGTGAGGGACTTCACTAGGATGAATCCTTCGAAGTTCTATGGTTGTAAGGTTGAGGAAGATTCTCAAGAGTTAATTGATGAGGCTTACAAGGTGTTGACTATTATGGGAGTGACTCCGGTGGAAAATGAGGAATTGGCCACTTATTAACTTAAATGTGTGGCTCAAATTTGGTTCAACCAATGGAAGGAAGCAAGACCGGTAGATGCGGGTCCTCTATAGTGGGAAAGGTTCAAGTCTGCTTTCCTTAACATGTTATTTCCTCTTGAGATGAGGGAGGAAAAAAGTTCTTGAGTTTATTGATATCCGACAAGGGAACATGAGTGTGAAAGAAAATGCTTTGAGATTCACACAGTTGTCGAGGTATGCTCCTTCTATAGTTACCGACTCTAGGGCAATGATGAGCAAGTTTGTTTCGGGTCTGTCCGAATTGGTGGTGAAAGAATGTCGTACAACTTTGCTTGTCCGTGACATGGATATTTCTCGTCTCAGGTTCATACCCAACAGATTGAAGAGGAGAAACTTAAGGAGAGGTCTAGGGAGTCAAAGAGGGCTAGAACCGGTGATGGTAATTTTTCTAATGCAAGGTCTGATGGACATGGTCGCCCTAGGTATCGACAAAGGTTTTCCAGGTAAGGTTCCTCCAATGTTCCTAAGTTCAACAAAGATAGGGTGTCTAACTCTAAGACTCAAGGAGGAAATGATAGTGGGTCCTTATTGCCTACTTGTACTAAGTGTAGAAGGAAGCACGAGGGCAAATGTATAGCGGGTTCCAATGCTTGTTTTGGTTATGGTAAGATGGACCACAAGATAAGAGATTGTCCTTCAGTTGCTAAGAATAAGTGAGATAGTCGTCGTAGGGCTCAACCCTATCCTTCATCCGGTCCAAGTGGTTCGGGTTCTAATGATCCTAATCAATATAGGTTCTATGCACTTCAAACTCGTGGTGAACAAGAGGGTTCTCCCGATGTGGTTACCGGTATGTTGAAAGTCTTCCAACTTTATGTTTATGATTTACTTGATCCCAGTGCTACTTTGTCTTTTGTGACGCCATATTGTCTATGAGATTTCATGTGCTTTCTGATGTGTTTTTAGATCTTTTTTCACTCATGTTGGTGATTCTAATGTGGCTAAGAGGGTCTATAGAAAGTGTCCTGTCTCCTTGTCCCATAGAGTTACTCTTGTTGATTTGGTAGAGCTTGATATGCTATATTTTGATGTTATCCTTGGTATGGATTAGATGCACTCTTGATATGCTTATATTGATTGTAGAACCCGTGTAGTCAAGTTTCAATTCCCAAATGAGCCTACCTGTAACACCCTAGAAATCTAATAACCTAAGGTAGACATGTAGTCTAGTGTCCTTAATGAGTTAAACGTAAAGATTAAAGTCCTAAAATGACCTCCCTAACTTAGTACTAATGTTTTAGGACTTACACGTCAAGGCACGACCCCCAAGGACTCCCCAAGGTTCCTTGAGGAGGACCCAACTGAAGGCCCAAAAAGTTGTCAAAAGACAGAACCACTTATGAATGGGGACCCACACCCCGTAGTGGGGGTCGTGGGTTGAGACTTAGTCTCCCAACCCTTGCCTTGATTTTCCTCCTCTCTAAAGCAAACCACGAGTATGCAGTACGTG